GTGGGAAGTCTTCAGAATGATCATGCTTTTCACCCCCCCAATGCCACACCGGAAACTCGATTTTCCAGGAAGCAAGTGGCTATCTTCCCTTCTTCAACGAAAGCCAAGGCCTCCGAGAGGTCACAGAGCTGAAGCACAACAGCTGTGCCACTTCCTCTACTTGGATATATCACATCGAGTCTACTTTTCAACAGCTGAGATGCATAACACTCTGCTGTTGGAAACGACCTTTCCCCTCAGCCCGTGAGAAAAAGCAGAGCGCCCCGGAACCAGAAGGGCAGCAGTGTGCCAGGCCCTGCTTGTGGCTCGGCCTTTCTTCTTCTGGAGCATAGGTTCTCAAACTTATTTGGCCGATCGCCCCCTTTTCAGGAAAAAAAATATTATTCAGCAGGCCCCTGACAATGACAAAGGTTTGACCTGAGCATGATAGTGGGACAAGAGGAAAGTGAAGGAAAGAGAAACGAACTAGGAGGCAAAGGACATTTCTAAAGGTCTAAATACAGGCATGTGCATATGTAAATATATTTATATATAATGATAGGGAAGTAGATCTATGTACCTATATTTATAAGTTAAGTCTTAAGGTAGCCGACAGACATTGGACCTGTACTCAAGTACTCCCTCAATGCAAGAACACTTTGTTCTAATAACCCGGGATTCTGTGATGCTAGCTGAAGACATAATGGGTGCATAAGCAAATGTGGTGAAGAAAACTGATGGTGCCCAGCTATCAAAAGATACAGCGTCTGGGATCCAAAGGATTGAAGATAAACAAGCAGCCATCTAGCTCAAAAGCACCAAAGCCCACAAGGAAGAAGCACACCAGCCTGTGTGATCATGTGGTGTTGATGGGATCATAGAAAATCATATTTATGTGAATGAGGAGTGGAAACCCAAAGCCCATCTGTAGACAACAGGACATCCCCTGACAGAAGGGTCATAAGGAAGAGACAAGCCAGTCAGGGCGCAGTATAATACTGAAGAAACATACAACATTCCTCTAGTTCCTTAATGCTTCTTCCTCCCAACTATCATGAACCCAATTCTATCTTACACATCCGGCTACACCAGAGCATGTATACTGGTGGAGAAAACAGCTCACAACACAGGGAATCCAGGATAGATAAACCCCGCAGGACCAATAATGAGAGTAGCGATACAAGGAGGGTAGGGGGAAGTTGGCAGGGAGAAAGGGGGAACCAATCACAATGATCTACGTATAACCCCCACCAGGGGGATGAACAACAGAAAAGTGGGTAAAGGGAGACAGCAGTCAATGTAAGATATAAAAATAATAACAATAATTTATAAATCATCAAAGGTTCATGAGGGAGGGAGGGTAGGAGAGGGAGGAGGAAAAAATTAGGAGCTGATACCAAGGGGTCAAGTAGAATGAAAATGTTTTGAAAATGATGATGGCAACATATATACAAATGTGCTTGACACAATGGATGGATGGATGGATGGATGGATGGA